ACCACATAGACAGTCGCATGGAACTGGTTAGAAGTTGGAGGGAGATTTCAGTACTGGGCGCACAAAACTTCCGAAGCATTTTGAACTATTTAGGAATTCAAAAATGATCAGAAGAGAAGAAAGTCTCAAAATCACAGGGACTGAAAACTTACATTAGGTTGACCTTTTCAAAAAATTGGAACGACAACCAATCCGTTTTGAAGCTCTCGAATTTCGATCTCTTCAAAGGTAGAAATCGGGATCGAAAATGTTACGACAATTTTCTTGTAAGGATTTTTGGAGGAAAAAGCCATTTGAGTCGGAAAGCGACAAGGGAGGGCATAATGAAGATACAAAGCTGGGCTTGTCGACCATAACCGTCGCTCAATAGCAGCAAAAACTTGTTTAGCAGTCCTGAGAAGGTTGGTAGCGTCCGAAAGGGAGCATATGTATTGTAAATGCACCCAGCTGATAGACACCGATAGCAAATTCCAGCAGCTTTGGGGCGACTGTATTGTCAGGCCAGTTTCGTGTGCTGAACTCAAATTCGCGATCCAGATATCAAACGCATGAAAAATGATCGTAGGGTTGCTCGCTATTTCCATATTTTCACGAAAAGCAATGGAGATCAATGATTCACATTACTTATTTGATAGGATGACCTTTTCGAGTAACTCATTAACTATTCCTCACACTCTACAACAAGTAAACTGCTCGGAAGTTGTTCATCCACGGACCTCATACAGCTTGATCGGCCTATGCTCACGTCTTTGCTGACCCTTTAAGGACCATACTAAGCTAGACAACAACGTGTGGTTTGGTACGGTTAACAAACTTAGATATCGCCATTTTGTATAAAAATTCTCTCGGAAAGTCAGACATCTACGTGGGAGTAAAAGCGAAAAGGAAAGTTCGCAAGCACCTGATCCAGTCTACCATCATACTTAATACCGCTTTCAAAAACCTGCTTCGATTGCCCTACTCGAATAGATACTTTTCTCTGCTTAGCTCAAGAATCATAGGTTCACACTAAGTACACACCGGTATTATTCACGCTTAAGAAGTATTGACTGCTGCAGTTGACTCAAATAATATGCCTTTAAAAGGAACGGATTTAGAGAAGCCGACGGGGATGTGCCCGACTCGAATTCAATTCATTCCAACTGTAATTGAGGTAACAGCTTGAGAAGGAGATGCTAATGAAGATGAAAAAAAGAAAGAAATCATGCCGTAAATACATTATGATTGCAATAATAGAAAGAATAGAAAGTGAAAGCCCAGCCGAACACTAAAAGCCATAAATACGTCACTGAATGAGAAAATTTCACTCAAAGTGTGTAAAGCTACCGGTGCATGCGCTTGCCTCTCCGACCTTACCCAGTAAGCTTGCCCCAAACAGCTGACAGCTGCTGGAACACGCACTGAAAAAACCTCCTCAAAGTGCATTTCGCGCGTGGGCATGACCCATCGTTACGGAGTGGATGTCGTTTCAGAAAAGAATGTAGTACTTATCATGAGGCAGATTGTCTCGCCATAGCATTTGTTAGGGCAAAGCGACCCATGAATACGATAAATTAGAAATCATTGACATTGTAAGAATATGGTCAGGCCTACCGATTTTTCTCAGACTCCAAGAAAAAAGTGAGTAAATCAGGCACCAGTTTTATCTACCATGAACACGATCTGTCCGCTGCGGGTATTTGGCCCTTTCAAATCTTCAAACAGCTACCTACCCTCCTGTAGCTTTTGCAGTCTAAGAGCGCAGCATTAAACATTTTTAGTATCTATTACACTTAATTGCAGAAAGAACGCTTCAATTAAGGTGGATGGTACGCTCGCGTCAGGTGTGTTCAGTTTAAATTAAAAATTGCTTCTCTCTATCGATTTAACCCAATCTTCGGTTTACTTAGGAACAAGATATTTTTTTTTGTTATCACAGTCTGATGGGTATACCATGTCTGCCGGGAGACATTCTAATTTTGCCTTAAACCAGATTCTTGACGTCACACATTTTTGCTAGAATTCCTGAAAGGAGGGGACAAAAAGTGAGTTTTCACATTGGAGTTTTTAGTATCTATTACACTTAATTGCAGAAAGAACGCTTCAATTAAGGTGGATGGTACGCTCGCGTCAGGTGTGTTCAGTTTAAATTAAAAATTGCTTCTCTCTATCGATTTAACCCAATCTTCGGTTTACTTAGGAACAAGATATTTTTTTTTGTTATCACAGTCTGATGGGTATACCATGTCTGCCGGGAGACATTCTAATTTTGCCTTAAACCAGATTCTTGACGTCACACATTTTTGCTAGAATTCCTGAAAGGAGGGGACAAAAAGTGAGTTTTCACATTGGAGCCCATTATTTCGCATTTGTTCTCTCCATCATTGGCAGAGCTCCACTGATTCATGCGTGCGCAGCACATGTTGACAAGTGACCCACCATTTCTAGCGGTCCGACTTCTCTGGCTGCTTTACAAAGCAGTTATGAATTTGAGATGCATGCATAGCAACACCAGAAATTTTTCTCAAAATACGGAAAGTAGGTTATTTAGTAATATACGCATATGAAACGGGAGGAAGGCTACAGGACAGTTTGATAAGAGAAGAAATGAGTCTAAGAGTCGAGGTAGAAGGAAGTGGAGGCGAGTTACAAGAACAGCGGACTTTGCGACGGCGCGTGATTAACGATGGGGAAAAGAAGATGGGACGAAACGTATGAACGCGACACTTCCACCTGACGACCTCAAGAGACAGAAATATTGTGCTTGCTTAAATTCGAAATCTATTGCGCTGAGAAGGACAAAAACGCTCTTCTCAAGAAGTTATGGACTATGTTTATGTAATGAACCAAATGAATTTAGAGATTGGTTGATCACTTATGGAGCGCTATTAACTATTCTGAAGAAATTCAACATCTTGACATATCAAATATCAGGCAAAGATTACTCCTCAAGTCGAATGTTGTTTACTTGCACTTTTAGAAGAGCACTGAGTGTTCTAGAACATAAAATTGAACGTAAAATAGAGAATATTGTCACCTATGACGTCTAGTCCTTTTCACTTTCGATAAAGTTTTAACGACTAGAAGTGCTCGTCACTGATTTCTCGGGGGATGAAATGACAATGAGCCAGAGGTGAGGAAGTTAAGGTGTTAAAGTCTGAACCTAACTAAATCAGTGGTCAGTGCTGCACCTGTGATGGCATCCTCACTCCGGGGTTTCTAATGAGCCAGGGGCCAGAAATCAGAATACATTCCGTTTGTTTACTTTTTATCGCAATCAATTAGTTCTGTACCAAATTGAGCGCATTTCTTCAACAATAAGATGCTCCTGTTGCCCCCCCCCCCCCCCCCC